GTTATAAGATAGAGATAATTTTGTATGTAGTAAATATCAAAGCATAATGAGAAAAATAAGTAAAATTGTGTTGCAATATTGACAAACTCAACCCAATATAACTTTCATTTTTAGTGCAAATTATACTTTTGTAGATGTTAATTGCAATGTGTGTGTGCGTGTTTACTTTATTCAATAACTCATATTTTTTTTATCAAATTTCAACCATCCAATCTTAATATATAGATCAAGTGTGTAATTTTTTTTTAAATTACAAAATTATTGGATATTCAATTTCATTAATTCAAATCAACATATAAAATATTTTTATGATTATTTGTCAATTTGAATTAATAAAATGAAGTATCAAATATTTATCAAATTTTTTTTAAAAAAAATTGTATACTTGACCTATGTATTAAAAATTTTTAATTTAGCAATTGAGTTATTAAAATTTGATGTAAAACATGAGATATTGAGTGAAATAAGTCTAAGTAGACTCACTCTTGAAGTAAGTAGATCGCTCTTCTATAAACATGAATCTTTCAAAATTTAATTTGAATTATAACACATTGGAATTCGAATTAAATTTTAAAAGATTCAATTTAATTAAAAGTTATTCGATGTAATAATTGATAAAATGCAATTTTCCAATTGAATTTTCTCTTTTTCTATGGCACCATTCACGTTCACGTTTCCAAACAAATTTTGCCAACAATCATGCATATAATAGATTCCTTACTTTAGGAAATTTTTTATTTGTATCCATCCAAGCTAAAAATTTAAATGTGTTTCTTTTTGGTTTATCAATAACCTTTTTAATGGATTCATCTTCATCAAATACAACAAAATGTTCACCAAGTAAATGGAAGGATAATCTCTCAACAACGGATTCTCTATAATGAATGTCAAATAAGAAATTTCTCTATAATACTTCACATGATGACAAATATCTACCATCATATTTTGCAAAAAAAGAAAAAGGTTGTGAAGGAGGTTGAATGTAATCTAATTATTTTACCGTGAATGCAACAAAGAGAAAAACTGGGTTTTTTAGTTTTCCATCTTTTTTTATATCCACTCAATGTACCACATCTTAGTTTTGCAAAATTCACACTTCCAAAGTGTATCACCGATGTCCTAAGTATCTAATAGCACCTCCAGCGGGGGTGCTTATACTGTATCTTAAAAATAAGCAACGGTACTTATAAGAAATTTCCAATGGAGTGATCCTACATGGCAAGAGAAGCTCCAATTTTTTTAGCTATGTTGCTTGAAGAAGGAATGATGCTTAGCACTCTGAAATGTGAAATGGAGAGGTTTGATTGGTTGATCCAGATCCTTGCTTGAACGTGGACACAAATTTTGCAAACAACAACAGATGGGTCGTTTGTCCCGCTTCTCCTCCCTCTCGGCCCACTCCCTCCGCTCGCTCTCCTTCTCGGCCAGCTGGTGCCGCCACCGGTGGATGTCGACCTCCGGGGGCCGCGCACGCATGTTCGGGCCGATCTCCTCAATCACGCGAATGTCCGGGACGATCCCCTCAGTCGCGCGTGAAACTCCTCCTCAGCCACGCGCGCCCATGTCCGGGACGGCCAATCTCCTCACCGCGCGCGCACCTTCAGGCTGGGCCGTTCTCGTCAGCAGCGCGCGAATGACGGGGTCGGGCCGATCTCCTCACCCCGCGCATGCAATTCCAGGCTGGGCCAATCTCCTCAGCCGCACGCACACCTCTAGGCCAGGCCGTTCTCGTTAGCCGTGCGAGCACCTTCGGGTCAGCCAGACCTCGTCAATCGCGCACTCCTTCGGGCAGTCTTTCATGGTGAGGGTGGCGGTGAAGGGTGAGGGTGAGGGATGTTGAGAGAGAAATGAAAGTGAGAGATGTTGAGAGAGAAGAGAAAGTGAGAGATGTTGAGAAAGTGAGAGACGTTGAGAAAGATAGAGACATTGAGAGAATGTACAAAAGAAACATCCGAAAAAAAAAAGACGGTGGGTAAGAAAATTTGAAAAAAAAATATTTTTAATCTTTACATTTTGTTAAATATGATCAAAGTGTCTATTTTCGTATTGATGAATTTGATCTTCAAACTTTAGAAAACATATATATCTATAAGAATTCGTCACTTTTTTTTTTTTAATTATGAGAAACTAAGTTCACATTTTTATTTTCAAGTTAAACATCAAATTTATCAATATAAAGACTTTAATCATGTTTGAGTAAAACATAAAAACTAAAATAATTTTTTTTTCATTTTAGGTCGAATTTAGTCAAATAAGCCCTTGGTCATTATGATGATTATTTCAAGATGAGGGTTGATGCAACTTAAAAGAAGCGTTTTTCACCATTACAAAAATGCACAGCTTCAATTCGTATATTAGCATATAGATCAAGTGCTAATAGTACAGATGATTACGTTCGAATTGGTGAAAGCAATGCTGTGGAATGCTTATAGAGATTTGTATCCGGTGTGTGCAACATATTCGGAGCTGAATACCTTAGGAGGCCTAACATTGAAGATGTTGAATGACTACTTCAAATGGGGAATGCACGTGGCTTTCCAAGTATGTTAGAGTCTATTGATTGTATGCATTGGGAATGGAAAAATTATCCAGTTGCTTGGAAAGGATAATTTTGTCAAGGTGATCAAGACAAACCCACAATTATGCTTGAAGCTATAGCTTCACAAGACTTGTGGATTTGGCATGCTTTTTTTTGGCACCGTAGGTTCAAATAATGACATTAATGTGTTGAATGCTTTGAATTTGTTTAATGACGTTTTGTCAGGACAAGTGATCGAAGCCGTATCCGGTCAAATAAAAACAAGAAAATGTAGTACTAGGAGGCTTTCCTAGGCCGTCTCCTAAGGACCACTATTTTTTGTCAAAGGTTCAAACACGAAGTAGGGGGGGTTTGGTTCAGATTTATTAGTTTAAAACACAATAAAATGCAAAGTAACATAGCAAGTAAAGAAGATTGACTCCTTGTTCAGATTGTAACTCTCTTATCCCTAGTTCATAAGAGATTACTCTGTCAACAACTTAATCCTTGTTCCATCCGAGTTAACCAACTAAGCTAAGATTAACTCAAGACTTCCCTACATGAATTAAGCAAACAAATACAACATTGACTCTCCACAGGATTAAGCAAAGTATGGCATTAAAGACAACCGATTAAGCATGAATGAATTAATACAAAGATTTAATGAAGAAGAACCAAGAAAAACAAAGATACACAATACGAACCCAACCTCAAACAGAGATTACAATCCGCAACAAGGAGCCAACCCCAGGGGTTTTAGCCTTCCATTAAAATGCAAATGAAGAAACAACAAGGTAGAAGGAAATGAAACGAATAATCTGTATCACTTAAATGTAAAGGTGTAGTTTTTGATACAACCAGAGAAGAAGTAGAAGAAAAATGTAAAGGAAGAAGCAACAAAACAAAGAAAATGTAAAAGGAAGAAGAAGCAAAAACGTGGTCACATCAAGGTCTGAAAGTTGGTGGCTGCATGGTCAGCCCTAGGACCTAAAAAACCCTAAAACGTAAATGGGCCTCATTTTCATGTGTCTGGCCTGAAAATGACCAAAATAAGGTTAACAAAAATGTAAACATGTTGTTGATGTGGAGCTGATGTGGCAGTTTGGTGCTGACATGGCGCTGACGTGACACTTTATCTCTTGAAGTCCAAAAATAATATTCAAGCCAAAAAATGCTCTATAATTAAGCTGAAAATAATTAATAGACAAAAATTAGACAAAGTGAAATGGAATTAATTAAAATTCGAATTACTGGCCCAATGAAGCCCAAACAGTAAAACTATCAATTAATAAGCGATTAAGCCCAAATTAACAATTAAAATAAGTACAAAAAGATAAATAAATAAGGGAAAATAATGACTCATCACAAGCTCCTGCTGTACAATACATAGTGAATAGAAACCAATATAATATGTGTTATTATCTTGTTAATGGTATTTATCTAGAGTGGGCTACATTTGTGAAGACCATCTCTATGCCACAAGGAGAAAAAAGGAAATTATTTTCCGAACGACAAAAATCGACAAGAAAAGATGTAGAGCGAGCATTTGGAGTATTGCAATCTCGATTTGCAATTGTGCGTGGACCAGAACGTGTTTGGCATGTTGATACATGGAAGAATATCATGTATGCATGCATCATACTACATAACATGATAGTTGAAGATGAGAGACACACATACAATATTAATTTTGATTATGATAATGGTTGTAACGAAGTCTCGACTACCGATGTATCTATTGCTCCTCATCCTATTTTTACTGCAACATAATTACAAAGGAAGGCACATCTTCGTGATAGGCAGCAACATCGACAACTACAACACGACTTGGTGAAACATATTTGGGAACGTTTTGGACATCATAATAACGAAAATTAGTGCGTATTTAATTTTTATATTTAATTTTGTTGTAATTTTTGGTAATTCTTTTTATTATCTAATTTCTTTTTATTATTGTAATTTTTTTTATGAAATTTCTTTTTTTTGTTATTCATATTTATATATTATCCATAATAATTAATTTTTATAAAAATTATCATAAAGTATAGTGTGAGTTGTCAAAAAGTGTAGTATGAGTAAAAAAGTAGGGGTGCTTATAAGCAATTTCTATTGAAGCAAAAATTGTTAAAACATAATATGAATTGTTTATGAGTGACGTGGCACAATGAGACCCATTTAAAGTAGTTGGGAGTTACATTGTAGATGCTCTAAGATAATTTAAAATGAGTCAATATTTTGACAATTTTTTTAAATTATTTAGTGTAAATAAATAAAAGTGAAATTATTTACCTATAATTTTTTTCTATTATTTCTTCATCTTTCTTCTCACCACCATCATCATAATCATTTGTATTATTAGTTGTAGGCAGTGTGTTATCTAAAATTTGAAAACATATTTATTAGTTTAGGTTAATACAAATAAAACTCACTTAAAGTATAACAATTAAAGAAAACACAAAGACGTCCATTGTGTGCCGATATGATGGGTTCTGTTAGGGTTTTGGAGGAAGAAGGTTCTCCTGATGATGACCCTTCCCTACAGAGTACGAAAAAGGTGAAAACTAAAGAGTGTGTGTGTATGGAGGGCGTGGTTTCGGAGGGAGGAATGAAGGATGATGATACAAACGTTGTTCTCAGTAATCAGTCCAAATCCTACAAGGAGAGCCTTCTTACCTCTGATGGAGGGAAGATATTTACTGATTTCAATAGCCTGATTAAAGAGATGGAGAACCCTGAAGATGCGGTCTACCATGAGAAGGAGGTTGTTAGAGATGAATCAGAGTTGGATCCTTGTCCCAAGATCTATGTTACTCAAGAAGAATTTGAAGAATGGTGTGCACCTTGGAAAAATTCTCTTGTCATTCAAGTTTTGGGGAAGAGGGTTGCGTTCCGAATGCTAGATAATAAAGTGCAACGCGAATGGGCTAGAACTGGAGTGGTCAGGTTGATTGATATGTCCGAGGATCATTATTTGGTGCAATTCACTTCTGAAGAGGACTACAAACATGCCTTATTTGAAGGCTCGTGGCTAATAGAGGATCACTACATCGTGGTGCAAATATGGAAGCCTTTCTTCATGGTTACAGCTAAACAAACACGTAAGATAGCTACATGGATTCGACTACCCAAGCTACCCATTGAGTTATTCAATGACAGGTTCCTCTGGAGGGTGGGTAATAAACTTGGTACAATGCTGAAGATTGACAAATTGACGTCGATACAATCACGTGGGAAGTTTGCAAGAATTTGTGTACAGATTGACCTATAGAAGAAACTTGTATCACAAATCGATGTTTTAGGGTCTCTAATCCAACTAGAATATGAGGGACTTCACTCAAGGTATTTCAAGTGCGGAAGGTATGGACATAAGCAATCTCAGTGTGTGTCAAACCAGGTCCACATAAGCCAAGCCATGGGGGAGAAACTAGGGAAAAACCACATGGAGGTCGATGACGTTCCTATCAACATGGTAGTTGAGGATCTTACGAAGAAAGACAAACCCTCGCAGAACTCTGATTCGGTGCAACAGAATGGTGCAAAGGATATTCCCTCCAGAAATCCAAGATTCGACGGATCAATACGGCCCCTGGATGATTGTGAGGAGAAACAGAAAACAGCAACGATCGAGAAATGCACAATTGACGGGAGCTGAAAAAAATAAGAAGGAAAATATGCCAATATCAAATATTTCGTCTAGAAATAATTTGATGTTATCTGGATTTGGATTGCCACAAAACAAGGAGTTTAACATTCAAAATATCAATGTTGAGAAGGACCAATCTGTTCCCAAAAAAAGAGCCACTACAAAAAGAAAAATGAAGGGTGAAAAGAATCCACAACAACCAAAAAAATGAGAGGCTTCAAATTTCAAGAATGGTCAGGCCATTAGTAATAAAGATCACGGAGGCAAAAATCTGATAAACAAGGAGGGCTCTTCTAGGCCGCATGAAGTGCACGAAGTCAATTCTGCATGGGCTTCCCATGAAAAACGCAAAGCTCTTCTAGGTTGCATGAAGTGCATGAAGTCAATTCTGCATGGGCTTCCCATGCAAAACGCGAAGCCCATAACACGGAAAAGGTGATGGCTGGTTTTAGAAATGCATCCGAAATGAATCATGATGTGTGGCGAATAGGGGATGACTTATCTACACATGTGGTACAGCCAAATGCACAAACAATGGAATTTGCAGCAAAATTAAGACATCATTTTGACCCAGGAAATGCCTCTGGGAATTGCCAAGGACAAGATATGCAGGTCGGTGAAGACAAAGACACTTCTGGGATATCAAAATCCCAACCCTCAAACCTTTCCTTATGAATATATTTAGTTGGAACTGTAGAGGGACGGGAGGAAAAAGATTTGTGAATCTAATTAATGATTTAATTATTGAACACAAGGTGGGTTTGCTTTGTCTCCAAGAAACCTACGTTAGTGGAACTAAGGCCCGAAAGATAATCAATTGGATTAGACTGGATAGATCTTACATTGTGGATGCTATTGGGCATTTAAGAGGTTTATGGATCTTATGGGATTCGTCTCTCTGGGAGATTGAAGTGCTGGCATCATCAAGACAACTGGTTCATCTTGCTGTTAAAACCAATTCACAGGCCTGGATGTTCACATCAGTGTATGGAAGTCTCCATTCTCAATTCAGAATTGACCTTTGGAGGGAGCTACGGAAGCTAGCAGCTAACATGGTTGGTTCGTGGAGTATCATGGGAGACTTTAATGCTGTGCTCCATGACTATGAAAGAAAAGGGGGCTCTCAGTTGGCCTCGTACAGGGGGGATCTCTCTTTCATGGAGATGGTATATGATTGTAATTTGGTGGATATGGGTTTTCAAGGAAACCCTTTCACATGGAAGAGAGGTAATCTATTGGAACAGCTTGATCGAGTTTTAGCCAACATGGAATGGCAATTGAAATTCCCTCATGCGAATGTATTCCATCTTCATAGACTGAAATTGGATCATTGCCCTCTGCTTCTAAAACTTGACCCATCTTTGAGAGCATCAAAAGTCCATCGACCTTTTCGTTTCGAAGCCGCATGGCTCACGCATCCTAAGCTTCCTAATTTGATCAAAGCTAGTTGGAATATGGGAGTGAACTGGAACAACAACCTGCAATGCACTCAACATAATCTTACTAAATGGAATCAAGAGACTTTTGGAAATATATTCCTCACCAAGTGCATGATTTTGAGGAGATTAAATGGAATTTCTCTAAAGCTAGAACAAAAGAACAACCCTTATCTTGAAAATCTCTCTAAAGAACTGTGGGCTCAATATAAGGAAATACTGGTGCGGGAAGAAATCCTTTGATACCAAAAGTCGCGGTGCAAATGGCTAGAGATGGGAGATCGTAGCACAAAATATTTCCACAGCACCACTATTATAAGAAGACGGAAAAATAGAATCCTTAAACTAAAGAATGACAGGGGAATTTGGATAGAGAACAAGAAAGATTTAGAAGAGTTGGTAACAAGCTTTTACAAAAATTTATTTGAGGACCCTGGAGTTTTTACACCGTTTTGTTTAACAGGGACATTCCCATAATTATCTAGTGATGATAAAAAGAGCCTAGATGATACATTTCCTGATCTAGAAATCATGGCGGCTATACAACACATGGGAGGTCTCAAGGCACCTGGGCCTGACGGTTTCCAAGAAATCTTCTACCAAACACAATGGCAAACAATAGGAAAGTCTCTTTGCAATCTTATTCGTTCTATTCAGGAAGGGCCAAGTAAGATTGCTGAAATCAATCACACTTTTATTACGTTGATTCCTAAATTTGATAATGCTGAATCTATAAAATAAATGAGGCCAATTAGTTTATGCAATGTGACCTATAAGATTTTAACCAAATCCCTTGCTACTCGTTTGAGGAAAATGATGGAAGGTTTTTTTGATCCGAACTAATGCAGTTTTGTCCCTCACAGGAAAACTACAGATAACATAATCATAGCATAGGAGGTCATACATTTGATGAGACACAAGAAAGGGAAGAATGGGTGGATGGCGATAAAGATAGACCTTGAAATAGCGTATGACAGATTGAGTTGGAAATTCATTAAGGAAACGTTCGACGACATTGGCTTCCCTCAAAGGTTTACAGAACTGGTCCAATATTGCTATTCTACAACATCTATGCAGGTGCTATGGAATGGTGAAGCACTGGAATCCTTTAAACCTTCAAGAGGGATCCGTCAAGGGGACCCTTTATCTCCATATATATTTGTTTTATGTATAGAACGCCTTTTTCATTTGATAAATGTTGCAGTGAAACAAAAATTATGGCGTCCAATCAAACTATCAAAAAAAGGACCAGAGTTATCTTATTTGGCATTTGCAGATGGCCTTATACTTTTTGCCGAAGCATCAATGGACCAAGTGGAGATTTTGAAGTCTTGCTTGGATATTTTTTGTGAAAGCTCAGGAATGAAGGTGAGTCAAGAAAATACAAGGGTTTACTTCTCAAAAAATATAGGGCAAACTATAAAGAATGAGATTAGCTCAAGCCTAGGATATAAAAGAACGGATAACCTCGGAAAGTATCTAGGAGTGCAACTACATCATTCACGTGTTAGCAGAAGAACACTTGAATCAGTAATGGAGAAGGTGAATAGTAGACTAAATCAATGGAAGAATAAACACCTCTCCTTTGCTTGTAGAGTTACCCTTTCGAAGTCCGTCTTAATAGCTATTCCCTTTTATACGATGCAAATCGCATACCTCCCTAGAAATTTGTGCGATGAAATTGACAAGAAGGTAAGATCTTTTATTTGGGGCCAAACAAGAGATAATCGTGGTGTTCATGCACTAGCATGGTCGACTCTTTGCAAACCCAAGCTAGAAGGAGGCTTAGGAGTGAGGGAAGCTCGCTTAAATAATACTAGCTTTATGATGAAGAACTGCTGGCAAGTTCTGACGCAACCATACAAGTTATGGGTACGAGTTCTTCGTTCCAAATATGCTGGAGGTGAGAATATGGTGCCTGATTTCCATAATAGGAAGATTGCATCAAATACATGGAGAGGAATTTGCAATGCTTGGGAGAATTTTAAACCTTTTATTGCATGGAGCATTGGAGATGGTAAGACCATTAAGTTCTGGTTGGACTGCTGGTTGGAGTCGCGCACAACCCTAATAAAGGTGGTTGATATGTCCTTACCATACCAAGAACGGGAGAAAGTGCTAGAGAACTATGTTGGGGAGGATGGAAACTGGAGTATTGAGGGCATTTGACAATTCTTACCAACAAAGTATTTCTTGGAAGTGTTAGCAAGTGCTCCACCAGATTCTGATAATGATGCAGATTGCAAGGTGTGGGGTGGATCCAAAGATGGTATGTTTACCATTAAGTCTGCGTATGCCTCTATTTGTGCCAGGACTGCGTCACCTCATTACAATTTATATAAATTGATTTGGAATTGGAATGGGCCGGAAAGAAGGGTATCTCATGAAAGTATCTATACAAACTCTTAGAGGTCATCAAGAGGGTTAACTAACAATAATGGCTGCCCTATATGCTATAAAGCTAGTGAGACATGCATTCACCTGCTTCGGGATTGCGACTTTGCCCATGTCATCTGGCAACGTTTACATGCAACTAGCCATATTGAGGAATTTTATGATCTCACATTGCAAGAATGGTTGAAGTTTAATTTATCGTGTACAAATAAAGCATGGGTGTGCACCTTTGCGATTGGCCTGGATGCAATATCACTAGTACAAAAATGAATTTTAAAATCAGAAATTTAAAATCGGTCATAAGGTAGCCAATTTTAAAAGTGACGCGGTGACAATTTTGTAAATAATGGCATTACTTTTAAAACGGCTACGTTATGACCGATTTTAAAAGTCTCTAACGCTACTTTTAAAATTGGTTATTGAACAGCCGATTTTAAAAGTAGCATCAGAGACTTCATCTATACTATCTCCGCTCCCATTCTCCCCCTAGCTAGCTCCATTCTCTACTCTTTGACTTCAATAGTTCATATATTCTTCTCTTTACTCTCTCGGACTCTCATCTGAAGTGTGCAGCTTCTCATTTTCTTGGAAGAATACAACATCAAGGTAATACTCTCTTCTCATGTCTCTTATTTCGTTGTTGCTGGGCAAATTTTGAGTCTGGAACGGCCCTAGAATGGCCAGTTCTGTAAGCAGAACAACCTGTACTGCTTGCAATACGGCCCGTACTGCAATCAGTACAGGCCGTTCTGGGGCCGTTCCAGACTAAAGTTTTAGGCATTTTTCCAATTTTGA